ATTTCTGGCAGTCTGCAACCCCCCATAGTTGCCCTTCCAAGTCCTACCCTTCTTCTCATTTTTTGACTGCATTCTGATTAATGGCTGAGCCAAGGTATGTGAAACCTTTAACTATTTCAATATCTTCATCATCAGGTTTAAATTATATAAATAATCAGTGATCATTATTTTTGTTTTCTTAATGTTCAGCATTAAACCCGCCTTTGAACTTTTCCCTTTGACTTTCTTCCAAGTCTTTGCTAGTTTTTACTAGTAGTATGGTGTCATTTGCATATCTAAAATTGTAGATGTTCCTTCCTCCAATGTTCACACCGCCTTCCTCCAAATCTAATCCTGCTTTATGTATGATGCATTCAGTGTACAAGTTAAACAGATAGGGTAATAAAAAGCAGCTTACCTAACCCTCTTGCCAATTGGAAACCATTCAATTTCTCCTTATTTTGTCCTGAAAGTAGCCTTTTGTCCTGAGTACAGGTGATGCATCTGGACAATTAATCGTTGTATCACACCCATTTCTTTGAGAGTGATCCATAGTTTTTTGGCTTTTTTTTAATGAGCCACACAATTAAAGGTATTGCTATAATGTATAAAGCACAGGCTGGTTTTCTTTTTAAATTGTTTGATGTGCTCCATTATCTAATGTATGTTTGCAAAATGATCCTTAGTGCCTCTTCTTTTCCTGAACCCAGCTTGGACTGCTGGCATTTCTCACTTGATATATGATAAAAGCCTTTGTTGTAGAATTTTAAGCATCATTTTGCTTGCATGGAAAATTAATGCAATGATCCAGTGTTTATTGCAGTCTCTGGTGTCGTTTTTCTTGGGGACTGGGATGTATTTCAAGACTATTCAATTTGTGGACCATTCTTTTGTTGACAGATTTTAGTTAGAACTAGAATGGATTCTGTCTCTGTAGCTTGAAACAGGTCTATTAGTATGCCATCTTTTCTAGTGATTTATTTCTCCCAAGTGCCCTGAATGCAGCTTCAACTTCCCTTTTAAAGCTGCAGATTCATCTTCAAATGCTTCTTCCTTGAATAAATCTGTCCTCCTTTTATCTCTTTGATATAGTTCCTCAGTGTATTGTTTCAATTATCTTTTTATTTATATTTGGTCATATAATGTATTTCCCTGCTGCTTGGATAACATCCCCACTCTTGGTTTAAATTTCCCTTTGATTTCTTGGATCTTGTAAAATAAGTCTCTTGTTCTTCCTTTTTTGTTGTCATCTTTTGTTTCTCTGCAGAGATTATTATAATAGTTATCTTTGTTCATGTGCATAAGCAGCATCTGCACTTGCTTCCAACATCTGCACTTCCTCCCTCCCCCCCAGCACCATTTGCAGGAGCTGAATCTCTTAATAGAAAGACTTGTACACATCCCATTATGATTTATATGATCAATTAAGAAGTAATGTCTTTGTCCCAAGTTAAAATACCATGACCACATAGAGAGGCATTCATGATAGAT